CATTCGTTCCAAATACTAAAGGCGTAAATGTTCCCATTTCCACGTCTAAGATTCTCTGTTGGTACTTTCTTTTCTTCTCGGCTTCTTGTTCCTTAAAGATATCAGATGTGGCTTTGTTTTGATGACATTGGGAGTTTACATGCGATACACGGACGTCAAAAAATGATGTAACTCCTCTTGCCCAAAAGTCGCCAGCTTTGATATCCAATCGCGCATCCGGGCTTCTGTTGGTGGACTGTAAACGGAATTGTTCATTGTCCAATGGCATGATTTTCGGTTCGGCTTCCACGTTGTTGCATACTCTGCTGAGCAGCGTGGTCAGTAAATCACGAACACCGTCATGCCTTCGGGCCACAAAACCTCCTCTTTTACACGATAATGCGTGGTTGACGGAAAATGCAGACCCACAAACGCAATGACTTGGCAAGTCGGGCAATGGCATGCCATACCGCATTCTTATCGAATCCTTAAATTCTTCTTTGTTGAGGGTCAAACCTTGTTCTTCAACCGGTATAGCATTTAACCATGAGCTTGCTCCTTTATCCCGCGCTTGTTTAACAAAAAGTAGGAGATCGGCTGGGAGAGACTCGTCGATACGTTCTCTTTTTGCATTGGCATTTGCCCTCTTGATTGACTGCTGTTCGTTTTTTATCTCGTTAGTGATCTCTGGCATGGAAGTGCATTGCGATAATATTGCCTCCACATGTGGACGTGTTATTGACGTCGATGCTGCGTACTGATGTGGCGCTTCTTCACTTAATGCAGGTATCCCTAAACCTCCTTGTGCAGGGGACAGTGTGATAACTTCGTGCAATTCTTCAGGTAGAGGCTCTTCTTGGCCGAACAAGGCTGGGAGAAACAACTCACTAATGGCTTCCTCGATAGGGTTAATATAATCTTCAAAGGAGCTTATCGTTCGCATAAAATATCTAAACTTCGATTTGAAGCCCTTTGTGAAAGCAACATAGGCTGAATGAGGTTGACTTTTTGCAATATCACTTAGTGCTTCGATTTCTTCTCTCCAACTGTTGACCTTTTCGTTGCAGTACTCTTCTTTGTAATTTGTAGAACCAATAACTGCGCCCAGATGTCGCCTTCCTTCAGTTGTTATTTTCACCTCGCTTCCAAACACCCGTTCTGCTTCTGACGCCAGAAGTTGTGATTTAACAATCAGCCAGCTCTTAGAACCGTTTACATGGTATCCATACTTCAAGCCTTCTTCACACAGATAACGATACCAACTATAGAGCGCTGCAATCGTTCCTCCCCCTGCTGAGTCATCAGCCAACCAAACTTGTTTGACGTCTGGGCTAGCGAGTCTCAGTGATTGTATGATGGTTGATGTATTGATTGAATACCAAGGCATGGCCAAAGGGTCACCTTGAGTGGTGCCTTCTTGAGACAGTATTTCCCCTCCACCACAAATAAAAAGTCTAGAAGGACTTCTATAGGTGTTGATAAGATACTGCGAGATTTCATTACAAGTAATCTGGATATTATGCATTGCCACGGAGCGATTCATTTGGTTGAAAGCATTACTTGCGTCGATTAGAAGTATTCCATCTGTTTCAGCTTCAGCAAAGATCTCGCTCATTGCGTGTATCGCGGCTTCAGCGCCCGCGTTGTGCCCAGCACAAACTTGTAGCGGGCCCGCTGCTTGTTTCAACTCTTCTTTGAAAAAAGCTGACACAGTTTTGCCGATAATTCGCCTCAGTACTTCGCCTACACCTATTGGCCTAATTCCAGGATTCTTGTCAAGGGGAATCAATCTACATGATGTAAAGGCCTCTAATAGGGAGGGATGGTATGAAGACTTCAGCAGATTTCTCGTCATTATGGCTATTTCCTCTCTTAGGAGTTTTCCCTCGGTCTTGAAACTTTTTGAACACACGATTCTTCGATATAGTTCGGCATCCATTCCCGAGGGCCCTGCCGAACCTTTTGTTTTTAACGCTGCGTTGTAGATGGTCTGCTCATCAATCAAATCGAAAGTATTTGGTGGAACATAATCCATCGGCCCATACAAAAGGCTCCCCTCTTGCACCTCTGCAGCTGTTGGGTGTTTCTGTTTAAGCTCTTTAATGACTTCTGGCGATAGATTACATAAACTGGATAAACTCTCTTTATCTAACATCTTTATAGCAGCCGTGATTTTTCCTTGCATGACCAATTTTGCAAAGGTTTTAGACACATCTTCCATAGATCTAGCCTTCCTCGAGGATTTAAATTTCTTTTGAATAAATCTTACTTCTTTCATTAGTAGTGATACGTCGCCTTGTCTCCATAGGAGTAATCTGCGATCGATAGCTGAACTATGTTCTTTACTCTTAGACTTTGCAGACGGCTTCTGCAAAATCAGCGAAGGAAGTATCATAAATACTTTTAATGCAATTGAGTTCAACTCAGCATTGGAGTTAAATTGTTTGAGCCAGTAAGTTAATTCAGTTATGTAATCTTTGCCTGCTCTACCGGACGGGATTTTAAAAATGTTTCTTCGGAAGTGAACGATTTCATCGTATATCTCGCCCACTTCACAGCACAATTCTCGGTGCGTTATTTTCCCCCGCATTTTCTCTTTTATTTGGGATGGCAACACGTTAATCTCGGGCAAATTTGGCAGCAAATTGCGTGATGAACTCTCTTCATCATTTCTTAATTCCTCTGGGACTTGCTCAATAGTAATGTTATGCAAATTTGACTCCGGTCTCAGTTCGTTGATTCGTTGAAAGGAGTAAGATTGACCGGTAGTTTTCAGCATATTCCTTTTCACCTTTCTTGTACGTAGGAACTATGTTGGCGATTTTCCATTCTTCTGGAAGAGCACCTTGGCTTAAGGACTTATTAAAAAGCGTGCACAAAGACGTTGAAATAACAGGAGCAGACGGGAAGTGTCTGTCCAGGGAGGTGTCCCCTAGTCTGCGTAGGTGTCCCCATGCAGCAGGTATTTATCGATATATTTTCTGGTGGGATCCTGTCATGTTTAGACAAGAAATGGGCCCCTTAAATGTCAGTTACAATTCGACACCATGCAGGCCTGCCTTAATTGTAGGTTCACATAGGGCTGGATAAAATAGCGGCCCGCTGGGTATTTATCCCAGAACATTTGAGGTTAGTAGAGTAAATGTAGGATATATGAATAACTAGGGACTCTTAGCATGAATTTAACATTAAATCATCAAATCCATATTTAGGAATCGATCGTCATCTCTTGGGTCTTAAAATTCTTGCAGAAAAGTCAGGTTTGTTATGATTGTTAATAACACCTTGGTTGATAAACACTTTGGAAATTTGCTTGGGTGCATACGACACAACGTGAGGCTGATAATAGCGTCCAACTGAAATAAGTTATTGAAATAGAGACACACAGAAGTCAACTCAGCCAAAAAAGCGTAACCGCTGCCACGCCATGATTCGCAATGATTCGTCATCAAAATGCTGTCGCCATGTTTCTAGCCAGTGCGGTTATAACAGGCATTCACCCCCTGAATATCCGCCATTTTGAACATTTTCATAAGCGCACTGGCTAGGACCAGGGAAAAGTTAGTTCCCTGACCTCAGAATGACATTTCGTCAAAACGTTTTTCTTCGAGATTGGTTCAGAAACAAACTTGGGTTAGGGTTAGGGTTGGTGTTTAGAATTGGGTTAGTGTTAGTGTTAGTAAAACCGTTTCTTTCTTATGTTTTGTCACTCTGAGGCCAGCGAAATAACTTCTTCCCTAGGACCATGCATGGCGACAGCATTGCAACGGTTACACCAAAATCATAGGCAAAACCAAGAAGTCGACCTTTCGGAAGGTTCCTATTCTATGACCTCGGCCTCGCACCATTGTCCCGTGTTCTTAAAATGCCTATACAATTGCACAAACAACAAACGTATGGGAATTACAGCGCTGGTTGAATTATAAGGTGTACATTTTAAATGTTATAACAAACGTGACATTTTAGTCTCTTATAATCGGTGGTGATATTCAGTGATATTTTCAGTTATGAACCATCTTATCTGTGTTATGTTTTAGGATTACCAACGCCCGAGATATTCACTGATCCAGCTTGGACAAAAAGGTATAGTACTTGAATTCGTCAGAGAGAGAGAGAGGGACGTTTTCGTAACTAACTAGACGGATTTAGAAAAGACGACGCGAGCTCAAAGACGACGCGGATGTCGTCATTTGGCGCCAACTGTCGTCAGCTGACAGCTTCTGGTTTGCGACCACTTTGCGACGTTGTCTTGGACAATTTCACGACGTATATCAAAATATACAACCAGCCCCTGTGAACAGTTATTTAAAAACGTCTTCACCAATTTTCAAACGTACTTTTGGCAAAATTCATAAAATTTAGAATTAAACTGATGTGACAATACTTTTTATTTTGCAGTGGTGGTGATGGTAATTATATACTATCTACCAGTTTAGTTGGATACATCCCAGTTTTTGGTGTTACCTGGCCGATGGTGGAAGATGGTTATGGGACGTTTTATAGCATACAGGACAACCGGTAGGTATTACATGTTTTGGCACCCAACACCTCTTCAGTGCAGCTTGGTACATCTAGACACAAGAAGGCACTTTATTTATTCTTTATAGCTTGTTCTCACCCAGCACATATGGCACAACTCAGTGACATCTTGCTGTCGTATTTATCTGAACTTAGAAGCAATGTTTTTTTCCAAGGGATAGATCCAGTTTTTATCTGGTACGGGGGAGGAGGGGGTGTGAGAGATGTGTTTGTCCGCTCAAGGGGGGTCGGGTCGCCTCGACACATTTGACATTCTCCACTTTATTCTGTCGTCAACTTTATCCAGATCCACCACTCTACCATCGTTCCGCACACAATCCATCCACCGCTCCCGCGGTCGTCCTCCCTGATTCCATACGCTACGCAGCCCATCTGACAAACTAATTTTCCTCCATTTTCTTCATGTGGCCGTATTTTCTCTCTCAGTTCCACCTATTAACTATTATATATTCTCGTTCGTGATTTGTCAAAACGCGTGGGATAATTATCGGTATCTTGAAGCCGTCGCATTATTTCAGCTGCTGGCGCCATCAGCGTGCAATAATACTTTTTTTGGACCAAAGTAAAAAGGTGTTATTGCACGCTGTGGTTACCAAGCCCCGGCGCGGTCCATTGTTTGCAATCTCGTTCCCCGAGCCTACGATCCTCGGGAAGGAACGTGAGACCCTGGGATAATCCGTTGCCGGAAGCCAGGAATCCTAGCTAAGATTGAACTGCGTATTCCATTTCAACGGCCAATCAGATTCCCTCCCTGAAACAGATTATCCCAGAGCCTCACGTTCCTTCCCGAGGATCGCAGGCTCGGGTAACGAGATTGCATTGTTTGCTAAAAAGCGCGCGAAAATTCCATATTTTTAAAAGCGTAAACAAAATGGCTTTGCTTTCTTTTTAGCTTTCGAATATATAATAGAACAATTATTGAATTCGGTTTTCGTATGATATCGAGAATTATCAAGATATCATACTCAATCTCATTCAATAATTGTTTAATATTATCAAAAATGGAGCGAGGTACAACCGTTATCTGAGGCAGGGTTCGTGGCGTCCAGGGGCGAGTTAGTGATAGGAGATCTTAGATTTTAAAGCCATAATTTTAGATCATACGTTATATGCTTTTCGTAAGTTGAAGATGATTTGGGTTTTTTCGCGGGCCTAAACGAAGGAATAGATTTGGGGCCAGGTCAGGAAACTCGTTTATAGTTTAGTCTGACAAAGAGCTTCAATATCCTGGCGGCACATACTCCCTGACTGACTAGATTTCTAATTGATATTTTACGCTTTATTTTCTTTAGTATAAATGTGTCTGTATCTGCATATGGTAGTTCAAAGGTGACTAACTGTGAAAGGTTTCTGGAAAGTTTACAAGATAGTTTATCAGATATGCAAATACTTCTGACTGACAGCAAGCTGTGAGCATAAACAGTGCATGTTTTAACTCGTTTTAAAATGTAAAATCTCTCATCAATGTGAACGTATACGTGCACTTCCAGCGACATGTGTGATGTACAGAGTCGCTCTAAAACACTCTTCTCCACAGATGTACGCAACCCAATTACCCGAATGCCTTAATTACATCGGATATGCAGCCCTCGTGTTAAATTATTATAAAAGCGTAAATAAACTAAAGCTGGAAATGCCTCCAAGAAAGGTTCCGAGAAAAGAGAGTTTAGATTTGACAACGTTGATAACTACGAGTGCACGCCATTTACCCCCAAATTATTGTTGTCAAGCTATACAGTGGCAACAGAAGATATGGCGTGACTGCATGCATGGTGTGCTAGGGGGGTTGGGAAATGGGGAAAATAAGGATTGAAAACTTTTTTGACCCCCCCCCCCCCCCC